GGAAACACTAAAAATAGACATTTCAAGGAGGACAGACGACAGAATAAAAGAATCGTAGTATAAACAGTGTACTAAAAAAAAGTGTGTATTGGTTTGTCTGCAGCAACCAGCTCCAGAACGTTGTAGTGCAGTACTGCAGCAGAGCTGAGGGGGCAGCAGAGACGTCCTTGAACATCCTCGCGACCGAAGAAGAAAAGGATGCGGAAGTGTTTGTTAGCAAACGTGTTCGGTAGGTGAGGCTTGACGTGCGGTTATCCAGAAAGTTCTGGCAAGAGCTGTCTCTGACTGAAGAAACGAGGGCACAGGTAAACACTCTGTCTGCAGAGGGAATCATATTCAGCCTTGAAAATGTCTGTTATTTCCGAGGAAAACGTTCGAGGTGGGAGCGTTTTCAAGGATATTAGCGCCGACGACGAAGACTGGCAGCCCACCGAGATCGAAAGCCTGTGTATGAACTGCTACCAGAACGGTACGACACGTTTGCTTCTGACCAAAATACCATTTTTTAAAGAAATAATCGTCAGCTCTTTCAGCTGCGCTAACTGCAGCTGGTCAAACACCGAAATACAATCCGCAGGCCGTATTCAAGAGCAAGGCGTTTGTTACACACTGAAAGTCCGAACAAAACAGGACTTGAACCGAGAGGTTGTCAAAGCAGATTGTGCCACCACCAGGATCCCTGAGCTGGATTTCGAAATTCCTCCCTTTACCCAAAAAGGCTCGCTGTCCACGATTGAGGGTCTTTTAGACCGAGCAGTCGCTGGGCTGGAACAGGACCAAGCTGTCAGGAGAGCCACTGATCCGGAGGTGGCTGAGAAAATAGATGAATTTATCCAGAAGCTGAGGAAGCTCAAAGAGGTTGAAAATGAATTCACGCTGGTGATTGAGGATCCATCTGGGAACAGTTTTGTGGAAAATCCAGTGGCCCCTCAAAAAGACGAGGCTCTCACCGTGTCTTTGTTCAAGCGGACGATCCAGCAAGACAAGCAGCTGGGATTAAGGGCCGATGATGACTCGGATGAGGAACCTGCAGGCAATGACCTGGACACTATGAGAAATGAAGTTCTGGTCTTTGACACCAACTGCCCTGAGTGCAACGCGCCAGCCTCAACCAACATGAAGCTCGTTCAGATCCCTCACTTCAAGGAGGTCATCATCATGGCCACTAACTGCGACAGCTGTGGCCACCGGACCAACGAGGTGAAATCAGGTGGAGCCACAGAGGAGCTCGGCACCAAGATCACCCTGAACATCACCGACTCTTCAGACATGACCCGAGACGTGCTCAAGTCGGAGACGTGCTCCGTCATGATCCCGGAGCTGGAGTTTGAGCTGGGGATGGCGGCTTTGGGTGGGAAGTTTACGACTCTGGAGGGGCTGCTAAAAGACATCAAGGACCTGATTGTGGCCAAAAACCCATTTGTCTGCGGCGACAGCGGCACTACAGATCGTGTGCAGAAGCTGAATGAGTTTGGAGCAGTGCTTGACAAGGTCATCGCAGGTGAAATGAATGTCCACATCATCCTGGATGACCCAGCAGGGAACAGCTATTTGCAGAACGTGTACGCCCCAGAGCCTGACCCTGAGCTGATTACTGAGAAGTACACCCGCTCTTTTGAGCAGAATGAGGAGCTCGGCCTGAATGACATGAAGACTGAGGGGTATCAAGAGGAAAACTGAACTCCCAGCAGCAGCTGAAAGGACTACATGGGTCGTAAACTTATGTTTTGTCGTAAAACCGGTGTAATTACATTGCTCCATATTTTCTGCCTTTTTGATATGTTTTAAGTTTAACACTGGGTGAATGGTTGCTTCCGTCAGTGAGAAGAATTCTAAGTTGTTTAAATGTGCATGCTTTTAAACAGAAAAGCATATAAGTAACTTCATTTGTACATAGATGGTGCCATTATTAAACAGGATACCTCTGACTCAGTTCATTGCATTCTTGTGACATCCCAGAAGATGGCGCTGTGTTATCTCTGATTAAAAGAAGTTTTTCTTTCAGTGGACCACAGACTGTGTAGCAAATTAGTCTTTTTATACACGTATGAGCATGTCATCTAAACAGTGTTATCTAAATTGATAGTTTAGCTCTGCTTTTTGATTTGGCAGATGTTAAAACACAACACAAGGTTTGCAGTTGCATTTACTGAACTCAGAACACATTATTGTTGACTTAAATTAATCAAAAATGTGGATGCTTCTTCAGGTTTACAGGCATTTAGTGCTGTAATATTATCTTAGTGTAATTAAATATGAGGACTGGAAGTAACAATTTCCTGTTTATTCAATCTTTTTGTAAATTGCATGAAAATAGTGGGAAAATAACCTTTGTAGCATACCAGAGCTTAAGGTGGCAGTTACAAGTTCCTTTTTTTTTTTATCACTGAGAATCCTAAGATATTTACTGAGGTCACATGTTCTCATTTCGGGGGTTAAGAATCAGTGTTTCCTTGAAAAACTGGTTAAACTGAAGAGAGCCTTAATTTCTGTCAACTAATCATGTCGCCTCTGACAAATGCTAGATTAAACAAAAGATTAACCAGGCCTTGGTAATGCAGAGTAATTAAAATCAAGCACAGCAAAGATTTATTTTCAGATTGAACAGCAGATGTTGTATTAAAAGTTTTCTGTCACATCAACCACATTTGTACAGGCCTGGTGCAATTGTTCCTTCATTCTCTGCTGTGCAGGTTTTATCTAGCTTTCATAGCAACCAGGATCTGTTGTGTTCTACTAATAGCCGAGTAGTGAATTCCTAGATTACATGGTTCTTGAGTGAGCAGCTGTTAGCAGGCTGCTGATGGAAATAGCAGCAGCCAGGCAATGGGCCTCTGTATCCTGAGCTCATACAGCACACAGTGGCGCTATGCCCACTGGGTTATTTTCATAGAAAAATAATGATTGTCCATTTCCCCCCTCATTTCTCAGTTCTGCCTACTTTAAGTCCAAATAATACCAACATAGTGCGTTTATTTAAAGTGCTGACTAATAAATATAATGCACCTCGATGCAAAGTAACATCAAATATCCATATGATAAATGTTGAAGTCACTTGAGATTCAACCATAGTTTTTCCTGGGAAATTTCTAATTTTAATCAATTCACAGTCCATGCTTCATGCTATATTGTGGACACATGTAAAGAATCACTGTGAGCTCAAATATATAACCGCAGCAGAAAGACTATTTGAAGAGGAGGTTAATATAGCTGTGACTTGGCAGAGTCAAAATGATCTCAGTGTGAAACTTCATTCAAGGAACAAGATAAGAGCGCAGAGAATAAAGCTTTGACATCCAAACTCATCACTGTTTTTGACTGGTCTTTAGACTAGATGAATCAAAAATCTAGGTCACAGTCTACCTGACGTAATAGAAAAGGTAATCAGCTTGCAGTGGAAGACTTCTTCTATTCGTCCCTGCTCTGAGGGCAAGCTAATACGGCAGACCTGAAGGTGACTATAAACCACGAGTCAGTCTGTAATAAGGGATGAAATGGATTGGTATCATGTGACTACTTCTGATTGCCCTAAGCTGCTGGCACATACCAGTATGCTTTGTTTGATGTGTGACTGGTCTTAATGGAACTTGCACCCTCTTTGAGTGTTGGGGCCAAGGGCTAAATCAGAGACTGGGATGACCCTGCAGCTGCTCCAGCCACTCAGGCCTGCCTTACCCACACCAGGCCAGCAATGGGTCACAGCAGCCTCGTAACACCTAAACAGAGAGACTAGGTGCTCTCGGGAACCAAAGGGATTTTGTTTAAACCTTTGCACAATCCAAACCAATCTACTAATCAACTTATGTGGAACAAATCCCTTTGAGCAACAGTGTCCAAATATGAGCTTGTGGGAAAATGTGAATGTTTACACTAAAAATGTGACAAGAAGTTTGAAAAATCCAAAATACATTTTAATAAAGGTATTCACACAGCCTTTTTATATTTGAACAGTTGGAGCTCACCTGTTCATTATGGAGCATCATCAGAAGTATCATGATGTGTGTGTCTGTAGGTCACCAAACCCATCAATCCTTAACTTTGGCCCTCATGTTTTCAGTTTGTGTGAAAATTTATGGCTTAATACCACCGGTGTGGTATAGAATCTTAGCCCTAAGTACACATCTCAACATTGTGTTGAATATTAATTTCTGGTTTAGAAATTGGATTTAGCCAAGATTGGGCCAGATCACCTTCAAAGTGTTATCTCTTACCCACAGAGGGGGCAGCTGAGGCGGCTGTCATTGGTCCGACCTCGCAGGCAGCGGGCACAGAAGATGTGGTAGCAGTCCAATAAACATGGGGACTGGTACTGCTCACGGCACAGGTGACACACCAGGGGGTGGACATTAGCGCAATCCATATTACACAGGTTGCCCAAGTTGGTGAAGATTCCTCCTGCCATCTGAGAAGAGAGCATCATGTGAATGACAACAAACTGTGAGTCTGTTGCTGGGATGACAGTTTTTAAAAGGCCACATTGTCACATCACTTACAAAAAAGCTTTAGCATGCACTATGGTGTTGAATCACAGGCCAAATTTTCCAGTTATTTTAAGAGAGGCTAAGCTGACTGACATGAAACGCTTTGATCAAGACAGTTGGTTATTAATTGAAATAAGCAAGAGAAGCTTTTTGCCTCTTACCTTGTCAGACTTGTAAAAGAGCGCCTGGAGATTCTGTGACCAAGCACAATCCACAGATAGTAAATAAATAACACCACATGTACCGTCAGCACCTATATTATATCCAGCTAAGAAAACTTACTGTAAATGTAGTAGGCCGGTCTGCAGAAAGTACAGGGAGCCTCTGTCTTACCTTTCAGTGGTGCTATCAGCTACCCCCAGCAGGAATGACAGCAATGCAGAAACTCTTCAATAGTAGGCCGATGGGGTCCGTCCGCCAGGCAGCTGACAGCACACACCTCATGCCAGCCCCCCCAAGTGCTGCCAAAGTGCAAAGGGGACATTTAATATTGCTATCCCAAACAGACAACAAATACAGTTGTCATGCTTCTAAAGTCAAACTGTCATTCCACCTTGGACTCCAGGGAAGGGTGAAAGGAGAGAATAAGGTGGGAATTGTAGCATTTAAAACCAGTGGAGCTGCTGCAAAACTTCAACACAGGAAAACTTGGTATATGAAGTGTCATCTTAATGCCTTCTAGCAACAAATTAAACCTTGGTAGTGATATTTTGCATGATAATATTACGTCATATTCTGCAGTAACTTTAATCCCATTTTTCCTGGACATTTACTGGACACAAGCATGTTATCTAGTAGGATGTAACTGCTTATTGCAAGCCAAAGTAAATATTCTTTGATTTTTCGCTTCTTATAGGTAACTATTGCCTTTTAGTGCATGGTTGTTGTAGTTTATGCTAATTTCACATTGAACTGGTGTGATTAATTTTATAATAATGCAAAAATAATCACAGTCCACTTACTCAGATTTTATTTTTTCCTGAACTTTCATCCACATTTTCCGCAGGCGATGTAATTTGCTCGGTTCTTATGTAATTTTAATATGTGTTATGGTAGGTTTGCTTCATACCATTTATTGTTACCATTGGAAGATTTGTTCCTTGTAGCTAAAACACTGATAACCACCATATTAGCTAGTTGGATAGCCGATAGCTAGGCTTATTTTTTATTGGGAATGATAAATATTACTCCCAAATTATTGACACACGGCAGTTGAGCAGTAATTAAGAGAATTTCTGAACTCTTTTAACAGTTGGTGCCACTTTAAGTCTGTAATGGGGGGAAAACGCAGCTAGTTGTGTATGTTTAGCGAGAACGTAGCTATAGCATCAAGCTAATGCACTTATATTAATAACAGTAAACGTGTTAAGACAGTTAGCTTAATCAATCCCAGAGAGCGTCATGCAATCGATTTTGCGGCCGGGTATTATACTTCCTGCGCAGCCTTCGCTCCTTCCTTTTTGCTGAACGTGTCAGCCATGGCCCCAATTGTGAGTAGCAAAATGACCAAATAAAGTGCATACAGACGATATATTTTTGTTTATGCTTTGCACCGAAAGCAGTGTAAATAATCAGTGTACAGAAATATAGCAACCACGGATGTTTTCGCCTCTTTTTTAGGCTTTTGTTTACTGAGTCGGCTAAAACCACGTTGGGCTAACAGCTAGCGCTAACGTTAGCGAGCAATGGTCAACGACCGATAGCGGTTGTAGTGTTTTGCGGTTATTATCAATTTTTAACCACTTTTCCTTGTAATAAGTGGAATTCCAGTCTTGGGGACTTGACATCGAATCACTTTTTATAGCTTGACATAATCAGCGAATTACTCTTAACACTTATTTTTTATTGTTTTAAAGTTACATGTGCTTTTATAGTTGTTTGCACGAGTTTGATTAATTCTGTAATTCATGTGCCAGAAAAAGCAGGTGGTCAAGAAACAGGGTGGGAAGAGGAAGAAGCAGCTTCTGAAGTTCACCCTGGACTGCACTCACCCTGTTGAGGATGGCATCATGGATGCTGCCAACTTTGTGAGTACATCAGTTCAGACATAAGTGACATCTTGTGTGTTGATCAGTGTACGGCAGCTGTCAAATGCAACTCCTGTGTGTCCAACACTGCTGTCAAATTAAGGGGATCACTCCCAATACCACATGAAGGTTACAGTCAGCAGGGAAGATCATAAAAAAAACTCATTCAATTTACCTTTAAGTGGATGCAAACAAGATGTCAAACACTGTATGTCTTCTTTCTGTGCTTGTTACAAACTGTTAAACACACATCACACCTTTTGTTGAAACAATTTCCAATTCCATTTGCTGTGTGTGACTTGTTTTGTCCATTGCACATACAGGAGCAGTTCCTGCAAGAGCGGATCAAAGTGAATGGCAAAGCTGGAAACCTTGGCGGTGGTGTGGTGTCCATTGAGAGGAGCAAGAGTAAAATTGCTGTGAACTCTGAAGTTCCCTTCTCAAAGAGGTATGAAATACGTTGCAACTCATGCCAGACTGTATACATACCAGTTCTGCCTTTCAGC